ATATGTGATATATAATTAATAGCCTGAAATAAATTTATGACTTATATTGTAAGTTTGCTTTTGAATTACATTTAATGTATTATTCTTAATTATTCATTGATTGTCATTGTAAAATTAGTCACACACAAAATTCCAAAATATCAAACTATAGTTTAATACCACTATAGTGGTGCATGGCTTCGTTTAATTGTTTTCAAATAGATTGTTATAAATACTGCAACTTTCAAGTTAAAATTATTTATTCAAAGTATGTAATTGAGCTTTAATTTTTAGAATTCTAATTTTAACGAATTTTTGAATTTCAAACTTTAAAATTTTGGCTAGAATTAAAAAATCCGATCATTTTCAATATCAATTTTTTTTTTGGAATTTCGAAAAAACTAATTGTTTCTTCCGACTGTCGTCTTAAGCAAAATGTTTTGTCAACTAGTGGGACGCATGGCATCGTGCCTTAAGGGAAATTGCTAGAACTTCCCGTACCAAAAATTATTTTTATTTAAAAAGATTAACATTTTTGATAAAAATTTCTTTGAAAAAATTAGATTTTTGAGAAACTAAATTTTTGACCATTTTTTTTTTTTAAGGACGTTTTGAAAAAAATGTTTTCTTTATTTAGAAATATTTTGGAAATTCTGAACTTTTTTTTTCAAAGCAATCGTACTGCATAGACAAAATATCGAAGCGCGTAAGCGCCGCGTCGCTGTCTAACGGATAAACATTGGTACGGAACCCATGAGAATGTAAAAAAAAAATGTACTTATTGTTAAAATCTCTATGAAATATCTGATAATTTGATGTGCATATGTCTAATGATTATTTTTGACCTCCAAATGACTTTTTACTTTTTTCACTAGATCTCCTAAACCGCTTGACCTGCCTTCTTGAAAATTTTATCAATTCTTCATCTTGTCAATACAAGTAAAATGTTTTTTGAGTTATTAAAATCGGACGCTCCGTTCTCTTAAAAACTGAGTTACGGTTTGCGGCACTTTTTGCCCCGTATCTTCGAAACGGCTAAACCTGCTTATGCAAAAAACTAATCAGCGCGTCTCCTTATCAACAGCAATTGACTGTTTTTTGAATTATTTAAATCGGTTTATCCGTGTTCCCGAAATTTGTATCCGCACACACACACATACATCCATTTTTTCTACGGTATGCCAAAATGTTCAGAAACCTGTGAAACATAAAGATACATAAAAATTTTCATTTTAGATTTTTTCTGATTTCTATAACTTACCCTACGGAAAGTTAAAAATTAAGTTCAGCACATCTCGCATTCAAGACGAATCGAATGGAATTTTAATTAATGAAAACGTACGCTTTGTACTTTCAAAGACTAAATTAGCATTTTAGCACTTTTTGCCTAATGTCTTCGAAACGGCTGGACCTGCCTTTGCCAAAAACTAATCAGCATATCTCCTTATCAACGGGAATTGAATGTTATTTGAATAATTCAAATCGGTTGATCAGTGTGCCCCAAAACGTCGATAAAAAATTGTATCTGCTAGATACAACCATCTATTTTTTCTGAGGTATGCCAAAATGTTCAGAAATCTTTAAAACGATTCTTTATTATTACAATAACTTTCTTTAATAATTTCATATACAGGGAAGTTAATAATTTCTTATACATATTAGAAATGAGAACAAAACACGAAGTACAAAATACATTTTCAAATATGTATAATATCACAAACTTTATCACATTTTATTACAACAATTAAAATTAGTAGAGAAGTGTTTATGAATGCAATAATTATTTTACATAATAAAAAGTATTATAATTTTATAATTATAAGTAACTAAGACAAAGTACTTACAATGGAATGACAAATTTACAAGAAATGATTAATATTAATTATAGAATGACAAACAATAAAAACTATACAAAAATAGTGTAGAATGGTAAATTTATAAAGACTGACTAATAATAATTACTTAACGACTAACAATATTATATTAAAAAAAATAAAAACTAAGAAGATTAAAGCGTAGGAGTACTGACAATGGAATAACAAAATTAGAAGGAATGACAAATAATGCAAAAATTCAAAAAGTTAAAAAGAACAAATAACTTGTTAAAAAAAGCTTGCCAAATATTTCACAAACAAGAAATTGTAAGAACATAAAATGTATATATTGACATCAAAATTGAGAGAAAACAAAATTCCTAGGATTAAAATTCATTTACGAGACCTTTTTCTATATTAACTCTGCATTTAGTATAGTTATTTTGCTATCTAATCAATCATTAATAAAGTTGCTTTTAACAAAATCTTTGAATAGTTTCTATATGAGTGCTTTTTAAACATTACATTCAACCATGTTATGATCATGATGAAAACATTATCATCAAAATTGCCATAATAGATGAAAAAGTATCAACATTGTGTTTACAATGAACAGAATAGAGTTTTATGCACATGCAATTGTTCATGAATCAAAAGAAAAAAGGAACGTTTTTGATTTCCAAAGTCAAGTAAATATATCCTGAATTTAAACACTATATTGGGATGCTGCTCAAGTTATTTAGAGAAGAATATTATAAAACTAACCCTCAATGGAACAACATTGAAATATTAAGCATGATATAGATCGCTTTATAAGTCTTCACATTTGTTTATGCAATAAATAATCTTATTAAATACAACATTAAACTTATATCAACCATTTTCATCAAACAAAAATAAAAGTATGAATACCACCAAGATGCGAAGTAAAAATCTATGATTTAATAGTGTCAATGAAAGAGTGGCATATTCAATGCAGTCCATAAAAGAATAAAAAATAAAAGAATATAAAATAAAATAAATAAAAATAACTTAAATTATAAACAATACAACAACATAAAAGAACAATAAATTAAGATGAATAAAAAAAAACTAAAAAAAAAATCTGCCTTTAAGTTGCTTTCAACAATTTATTAAATCAAGAATTGATATAGAAATTACACAGACCACACCCAGCAAGTAACAGGCTGTAAAAGTTGAAATATTTATTAAATGCATTATACTAATACATCATAGTATCTGGAGGAAAACTGTAATCAATTCTAAATAAATTAGAAAAACATGTCTTGCAAAATAAAAATGAGAGCCATAAAAAATTTAAAATAATAATGAAAATATGAATTAATGAATGTTTACCAGGAAAATATTAAATAAAAACGAGAGCAATAAAAAATTGGAAACAATTATGATGGGAATGCAAATTAACGAATATTTACCGGAAAAATATTTGAATTTTTGTGCTTCAGGCGAACACTGTTAGATCTGATACTTTTTTTACATTTGGCTAAAGCCATTTTCTTTACTGGGTCCTGCTCATTTTTATTTATATATTTTCCTGTGAGATACCTATTCACAGTTCTATACCAAGTGTTAATGAAAAATAATATAAATGAATCTAAAAGGAATTGTTTTAAATTATGCTTTTGGCAAAGAAAATTAAAATTATTTAATACATGTTTTTCTAATAATATTTGAAACTTCATCTTCAGATTATCCTCAATACATAAATATTTAATAAAATGATCTAGTACTTGACTGCATTTAATAAATAGATCAAAAAATACAGTTCCTGGGACCAAAAACGAATGACCTGTGTAATCTCTAGATGCAATCCAAGAAGCTTCATTCTTGTCAATTGGATCTGCTAATAGTTCAGATGTACAAACATGGCAGTCACCAACATATCCGATAAGTTTCTTAGTACAATATCCTGCAACATAAGCGTTAGCAGGTTTACTGTACAATGACATGTCCTGGAAATGAAACGGTTCTGAGTCAATAGACATATTGATTAGAGAGTCAGTTTCCAAGACATCTTCATTATTCGAAAACACTCGAAATGTGGCAAGTAACCCGGTTGTATCATCAATCTCACAATTAGCAGATGGTAAATGACGAGATGATAAATTGTTGACTAGCAACGTTCTAAAGGCAGACACAAATGAGTAACAACTTGGATTATTATTCAAAGCCCCTTGATTCCTTATGCAATCAAAAAAATTCTCCAAGGGATCTTGGTTAAAATTTCTGGTACATAAGTAACTAAAACCCTGAATTAATTTTAATTTATGCCAAATATAACTCAAACCCTCTATCGTTTTAATCCAGTACTTAATGCAAGGAGGCTTTGTTAAAACTTTAAGTAAACCCTTGGTTTTTATGAACTGCATTGAATTCAAAACTCTTTTGGCTTCATGCCAAAATGTAGTGTGCACTGACTTATTCGAAATTGCACATCGAAATTGATTACTATTCAATGGCAATTTTGATAATCCATTGACACTATCAAATAAGTAGTCCATGAACATCAAAAATTCTCCAGTACCAAATGAAGTAACACTTCCACCTGCTACTTGGTAACGAGAGTTTTGAAGTCCACGTGCTACTCGCTGAGAAAATACTTGCGCAGCAAGACTGACCTTCATATGTTTTATTTTTGTTTGATCAAGGTGGTTTTCAGTCAATGTAGGACAACGACGAAACAAGCTTGAACTTCCATCATAATTATAAAAATGTATGATGTCTTTCCAAGATGCTTCATATTTGTTTCCATTTAAACCTACAAATTTAACATTGTACTTAGCAAAATTATTCCTCATGCATTTTAACAAATGCGAAGGATTATATAAAGGAACTACCTCATGGCCATCAATTTCAAAAAACAGTTTATTCGAGTGAAGGTTTTTTGTTTTATAAAACTCTTCTGTATCCTTTAATAGCTTATTAACCGCTTTGCAATTTGCTGCATTTTGGTTGCAAACTGTGGCAATAACTTTTAAACCGATACTAAATAACTTTTTTGCAACATCAACAATCAGAGATTTTAAATCAGAACTATTTACCCTACCTTCGGAAAAGTAAAAAGCAACGGGTTGCTTCCAACGATACTTTATTCCTTTTATCATGAAAACAAGTGCATGATCTGCAAATAAACTTTTTCTGCCATTTGCCAACTCTACAAAACCTACAATGTGATCCTTTTTTCGATCATATGACAATTCTGAAGATAGTGATATTTCATCAAACATCAAAACACAGTATTTGCTACTCTCATACTTTTTACGAGAAATAGCTGAACCTAATGTTTTAAATAGACATTCATTTATACCGCTATACAAAGGTATGTCTGAAAGCAACTTTCTCAATGTTTGAGGAGACGGCAAAATAAATATTTGTCTCCAAAAATAGTAAGCCTTTGGAGACTTTTTATACAAAGTTAAAGCAAGAATTTTGTCCTCGTTTGTAAATTTTCTTCCTTTCGGTATTTTAGTTTGGTCTCTTAATCGAGACAATATAAAATTTCTTGCCCTTACATTTAATGTTTCTGGAATACTTCCAAACTTTTCAGAACATTGTATACTCTGTTGCAATTTATCCCTTGAATTATTGCATTGTTTGTTAATCCTTCTTACCTCCCGAATCAACATTTTTGATATATTACATCTTTTGGGTGTTAAGGCACTCCTACGCTTAATCACAGCATTCTGCACCACTTTGCAGCTACCCCCTGCAGAACATAATAACATGTTGTAATACCATATTTGATTAATTATTATTGCTGCAATGATTATAAAATAATACCTTTGCTGGAAACTGGTGCCGGAATATGTGCCTGCTTTAACCCACATTTGACAATTTTAGTGTTTCTGCTTTGGAGGATTTTAGGTCTCCATCTACTAACTAAAAACATAAAATTCATTTATCAGTAACTTTCTGGAGATAGTATTGAAGTATTTAGAGTTATAATTACTTGGCCTGGTCCTTGGAGTTGCTGATTGTTCAGCAGAACATTCTCCAGTGACATGAGAGTTATTTTCTAATTGCTGTGAAGGAGATACTTCTGATTTGTTCATTTCTATAAATGTTTGAAAATCTAAAAGAAAACATTATATAAATTATTAGTAAAAATATAGAATACTTGATTTAAAGACATTATCTTCTTGATAAATTATAGTACGTAGTCCTGTTCGTAGTTATATTTATACACAAAAACATTAATAAACGGATCCCAAGTGTTAGGGGCCGTTCAAGTATTACGTAAGCTTGGGTTGACATGGGAGGCAGGAGAGTCTGGATGATGATTACGTCATAGGTAGTATTTTTATTTTTTTACATTAATTGCGAAATGTTTACATAAGCATGGGGGTAGGGGGTAAGAGCTTTGCTTACTTTTGCTGACAAGGGGGATGGGTGGGGTAGATAATTGTAATAAATCTGCTTACGTAATACTTGAACGATCCCTTACTAGAAACTCAAAATATCAACTTTTTTGAAATGTTAATATGAAAATGCACTTTTTTGTGTTGTAGCACTCTTTTTTTGCAAATCATATTGTATAATTATATACTTATTGGTATTTATAAAACATTTTCTAGGTTCTATTATTTTTTATTCATGTTATTCAAATTCAAAATCTAAATTTGGTATCGATCAAAGGGATAGTTTGTCGAATAATTGGTTATAATTAGAATTGGATATAATTAGTTTGATTTTTATAATATAATTAATATTTGCTTAAAGTCAAATTGGACCTTTGTGCCTCCCCTGCTCTACATATATACATTTTATTAAATTTGCTTTAATTCATCAAATGTTACTTGAAACTTTTCAAAAAGGTCAAAGAAGAAATACTTAATTCATTTTCTATCTCTCCTCGCAGAAATTTGAAATTTTTTTATAAGCTCAGTAGTATTATTTACAATTATACACAAAATCCAGAATCCAAAAAAAATCTGAAAAACTTGAAACAAAATCAATAAGTCGAAAGACCAAAAAAGACTTGGAATTGGATTATACCATGTTTTCTATAGAAAGTATAAAACTAGAATTATAAAATTTCCAGCTTGATTGTATTAACAAAATATAGACAAACTAATAGGGTTTGTAATACCTCATTTTATATAGCATTCAAACAACACATCCTTATACACTTAAAGTATTAATATTTTTGATTCTCTAGAAATTGTTTAGAATATACCTTACTTAGCAAAACAGCGTTTGCCGGGTCAGCTAGTTATTATATAAATTTTCAGAAAAAATATAGAATACTTGATTTAAAGACAACATCATCTTATATATAAAAATGGATCGCAAAATGTGTTGGTAAGCGCATAACTCAGCAACGCCTGGACCAATTTGGCCAATTCTTTTTTTAAAATGTTCGTTGAAGTCCAAGGATGGTTCTTACGGCGAGAAAAATTCGGAAAATTACCGGAAAAATCCTAAAAACAGCCTTTTCTTTTTCTCATACAAACGTTTTCTAACTAAAACGTAGAATCAATTTGAGCTTTGGTGAATTAGAGAATTTATGAAGGTAAATTGGTGGATAGGTAAATTAGAGGATATGTAAAATGGTAGATAGACGAATATGTAGATAAATAAATAGGTGGGCAGATTAATTGCTTGATATTTAGAACAGGATGACAGGAAAATTTGTAGGCCGGTGAAATGGTAGATAGTTAAACAGGTTGATAGATAAATTAGTAGACAAATTGTTAAACAGGCAAATTTTTGAAGAGGTTAATTGATAGACATTTAGAACAAAATGACAGGTAAATTGGAAAGTAGGTAAATTGGTTGAAAGGTAAAATGGTGCATTCATAAACAGGTTGATAGGTAAATGGGTTGACAAGTAAATTCGTAAGCCGGTAAAATGGTAGATTGAATAACAAGTTGATAGGTAATTTCAAAGGCATATTGTTGAGTAGATAAATTGTTGAATAGATAGTAGTAACGTTAAATTCAATGTAACAAATACACATCTTTGTTCAACTTTTTAATTTCACGGCAAAGCGTGAATGGGTACAGCTAGTTTAAAATAAATATCTAAACAACTTGTATTTAGTTACCTGAGGTAGGATTACTATTCTTTGACTGATGAATCGACAATAATATAAGGTCTTCAAAATCTATCCGTCGACAAATTTATATATAAATGTTATTATTATCATGAGACGATAATTTCCCCCTAAGTAATGATCGCCGGTGAATCCTATAAATGCCAAGCAAAATATGAATTCAGTGTTTTCATTAAAAATCATTCATATACAGTAGAACCTCGATTAACCGGACTAATTGTTGTTGATAGGCATTTGGATAATCAAAAATCCGGATACTCCAATGTATGAAGAATAATGATGTGTATTTATCAAAAATAACAAATACATACATAGATATCAACAAAAATCAATGTTGAATAAGAAATTAACATTTGCTTATGTATGTACATATATATTTTCTTGGATTATTTTACATACATATACTAAACTGCAGCATAAATCGTGCAAAAATTCGAATTGTAGGTATGATGTCCTCATAATCGAGGTTCTACTGTATTCATATATTATAGAACTAACCTGTCAAATCTTAGGATCGGTAGGGTATTAAATTTCACTTGTATTATCTTGTCTTTGAATTTACTTTGAATCGTAGACCTTATAATGCATCTATATCTTGGTCTTGATTTCGTATTAATGTCACGAAAATATAAACATCAATCGACGTAAAATTATGGCGTGCTATTAGATATGATTTTTAGTCACAATTTTGATAATAAATCAAAAGCGGATTCTAATAAAAGTTTCTATCATAATCCGATAGACTCGTTTTTATTTTGAAAAACAGCATAAAACTTTATTTAATAAAGTGTGAAATGTTTGAAGACCCGAATATACACGCGTTCCTAGCAAATTGCAATACAATTCATTCACGTTTCCTTCTCCTTCCCCTACTTTAATGTTCATAGTGCTAGTTAAAGGGTCCTAAGGTCCTACCAACCTACCAAAGACCCATAGGCATAGACCATAGATAAGTAAACATAAGACCCATAGACATAGACCTTCTGCCCCAGAGCGTGACTGCAGCGCCCATGCAGCGCCGTAATAAATATGAACTAATTATGGCTATCAGTGTGTGGTTTTCATGGGTTTCATATGTTTGTTAAACAAAAAAGATATTAAATAATTGTTATAAATAATAATAAACAAGATACAGTAATAATGTGAACGCTGAATGTTTATTGAAATTATTAAATTTACTTCAACGTTCTTAAAACATAATTAAGTATAATGATTAATTAAATAAAGAAATGCAGTAAACATTTTTAAGGTTAAGTGCCTCAAAGTTTATGTCATAATCTTGGAATAGTTCTTAATAAAAGCAATATAATAATGATAAAAATATTTTATCAATAGAATAAGTAAATAATAAATTAATTTACTCACTTTTTTATTATTTTTGGTCAAACTAAAGACTTACAATAGACATTATTATAAAGACATGATTTGATTCCATCATCCATCAAATAAAATTGCAGGAAAAAAAAACTACATTAACTTTTCGAGGCTTGTAAATTGAAGGAAATATTGTTGGCAAGTAGGTAGGACTCAATACCTCGTCCGATTTTTTTCCTCTAATAAAATGTTCACTGCAAATGCGATAATAGGGCTTGGAAACCCACGGCGGTGATCCCTCAACACTACAAATATATATTTTGCATTATTTCAGCATTGTATTAATTAAACTGTTTGCAAAATAAGCATTTTAGCGCTATGTGATAACTTTTATTTTTCTTTTAATCATAAAATTACAATTATTATACAATAAAATGTAATTAATATATAGATAATAGTTATACATAATCAATATACAATAATTAGTAAGTATACAGTAAGCATTAAATTTTGATAATATAACAATTCATTGACTTATAATTTTTCTTTTTGCTAAACATAACAATTTTACAACTATTTATAATACTCCGAATTATACTTTTATAACAATAAGGTTATGATACTTACTTTATTCTTCTAACCGCAGCGATCCACTTTTCTCGTTGATTTTCTTCCCACTTAGCTGTAGAAAATGAATAGAATTTGCAGTCACTTTTTCTGCCGGTATTTCTACAACCCACTACACAACAGCTTTGGTGGCTCATTTTTAATTATCTTATTTAAATTTGAAATAAACAAATATTTTATGTGTTTTTGTTTAAAATTTCGGTTATAATAGCTACATTTAATGCTCAAAGTAGCCACTACGAACGCTTTGGCCTATTTGACTTCCCCTTCCATGCCTTCGCACATAGCCATTGGAAAGCATGGAAGGGAAACTTAAATTGACTGAAGCGTTCGTAGTGGTCATTTTGAGCGCTACGAAAGACTAGTATAACCGAAATAGTAAACAAATACGCCTGAAATATTATTTTATTTCTAATTTAAATAAATTAAATAAAAATAAGACACCGAAGTTGATTGTAAAACCAACAGTAGGAAAAGCGAGTGTATATTATATAAATTTCCTACGGCCAAATGGAAATTAAATCAACGTTAACATTGATCATAACCTTATTATTATGAAAAAAAAAACATTTCGGAGTATTATAAATTGTTGTAAAATTGTTATGTTTAGAAAAAAGAAAATTTTGAGGTCAATAAATTGTTATAATAACAAAATTTAATGGTTAAAAACAAAAAAAAATATTTTGCAAAAAGTTTAAAGAATACAAGGCTAAAATATTGAATAATATAAATTTATTATATTAAATCGGTTCAATCAATTCCAATTATTCAAGAAAGATTCGATTCTTATTAATAAGAAGACGTGCTGATTAATTTTTGACATAGGCAGGTCTAGCCGTTTCGAAGATACGGGGCAAAAAGTGCCAAAAACGGTAACTCAATTTTATCTTGTATTGACAAGATAAAGAACTGATTAAATTTTTGGGAAGGCAGGTCTAGTGGTTTCGGAGATATAGTAAAAAAGTAAAAAAAAACATTTTGAAGTCAAAAACGATCATTAGACATATTCACATCAAATTATCAGATATTTTAATATTGTGTATTAATTTTGTTTACATTTCTATGAGTTTCGTAACATCGTTTATCCGTTAGACGGCTTCGATATTGTCTCTATGCTTTGAAAAGTTCAAAATTTCTAAAATAGTTAAAACTAAAAAAGACACTTTTTTGCAAAAGTTTTTTTCCAAAAAAAACATATATTTTTTTCAAAAATTAAAAATCTTTCAAAAATATAATTTTTTCAAAGTTTAAAACATATTTAATCTTTTTTTAAAAGTTTAATTTTTGGTACGGAAAGTTTCAGCAATTTACCTTAAGGCACGATGCCATACACCACTAGTTTTTATTTTAAAAATAGCAAATAAACTTTATTTAATTTTAACTTTAATTTAAAGTGTACTAAAAAGTTGAAGATCCAAATATTCATGCATTCGGGCAACACCAAAATACAGCTGTTCTGCTGTTCAGGTGTCAGAGATTTGTTGTGCGGTTATACTAGATAACAGGTCGAGTTAAAAAAATTGTTGGTGATGGTTGTGTAAATAATAATTGAAGTTGTTAATTGTTGTTATTATTATTGTGATTGTGCAGATATTTGTTTTAATGTGTGTTAAAGTGCTAGACGTAACTTTCAATCAAAGTAAGTAATTTTAAACTGATTATAACTTTATATTTGGGTAACAAATGTCAAAAATGATACATTTTAAAATTATAAATTTTTGATAAATTTTTCATAAAATGTAATAAAGTATTTCATTCCCAAAATACTTCAGCAAAATACGTGCATTGAAAGAATTTGTGTATTTATTTTTGAGGTTATGTTCCAATGTCGCTGACCTATTTATACTGTCTTTTAGTTAATCTTTACATAAAGTAGCAATTGTTCCAAATTTCGCTATCGACAAATTTGATTACATTTGGATAATTATATAACGATGTTAGTTTCAATAAACAAATACTTTTATGCAAAATTTATTGCTATAATTCCATTATGTTGTGACAGGCGCATCGTAAACGCCTAGTACTTTCTACAATGGACTCTTGAATATGACATTTCTGTATTATATGGCACTTATATAAATTAAAAGATTGTTTTTTTCTTATATTCATTTTGTAAATTATGTTTAAGGGGGTATACAAGTGAATTTTAGGTCATTTTTAAATCATCGTGCACAAAGGCAATAAATTTATATACTATTATCTTTTTTATAATTTCTTTATCAACTTTACAAAAGTACAGAAAAAAATGAAACAAACTAGTGGTGTATGGCATCGTGCCTTAAGGCAAATTGCAGAAACATCCCGTACCAAAAATTAAATTTTTAAAAAAGATTAAATGTGTTTTAAACTTTGAAAAAATTAGATTTTTGAGAAATTTTAAATTCTTGAAAAAAAAAAATACTTTTTTGGAAAATAAACTTTTGGAAAAAATGTTTTTTTTTTTAGTTTGAAGTATTTTGGAAATTTTGAACTTTTTCTTTAAAGCATCGCACTGCTTTACCTGCATAGAGAAGTGATATCGAAGCGCGTAAGCGCCGCGTCGCCGTCTAACGGATAAACGATATTACGAAACCCATAGAAATATAAACAAAATTGATGCACATTATTAAATTCTCCATACAATATCTGATAAATTGATGTGCATATGTCTAATGATCATTTTTGACCTCAAAATGGCATTTTCTTTTAGTTTTTTTTACTAGATCCCCGAAACCGCTAGATCTGCCTTCCCAAAAATTTAATGAGTTCTTCATCTTGTCAATACAAGTAAAATGTTTTTTGAATTATTAACATCGGACGCTCCGTTCTCTTAAAACTGAGTTACCGCTTTTGGCACTTTTTGCCCCGTATCTTCGAAACGGCTAGACCTGCCTATGCAAAAACTAATAATGTTTATTGAATAATTGAAATCAATTGAACCGTGTTCCCGATATCGTCGACGAAAAATTGTATCCGCGCACACAAACACACATACACACACACTACATCCATTTTTTAAGGTATGCCAAAATGTTCAGAAAGCTCTGAAACGTAAAGATATATAAACATTTTCATTTGCGATTTTTTTGCAATTACTATAACTTGCCTTACGGGAAGTTAAAACTAGTGGTGTATTGCGTCGTGCCTTGGCAAATTGCTGGAACTTCTCGTACCGTGATGAAATATTTGAAAAATATTAAATGGGACCAAATATATTATTATAAAAAATTATTAAATGTTTTTAAATATATTACTATGAATACTGTAACCTTCATTATTCGTATTTTATAGACAAAATGCAAGAGCTTATAAATTGGACGATGACGTTTATATAAGTTTACATGAAAAGTAAATTAGCAGAACTTATATATATATATGTATTGCATTAATAGGCTATATTTTCTCTATGGCCTATTTCTTCCAAAGTTTTTTGGTTTCAGATGGTTTGATCATTTATGTTTTTCTAAATAGGTTTCTCAAAGAAAATAGTTCTTATTTTAACAATCGTTCATTGGGTAGGTTCTGTGTAAATTTAAATTTTTAATTTTTAATATTTTGTTCTTTATGAGTATGCTTACATTATATTTATTCATCCAATATGTTATTTTGTTGTGATTCTGAATTGAATGAGACCAAATTTGGAAAAAGTTTGTATGTGTTAATGTGTGTGATCCGAATTTTGGCCTTTTATCAATAACGATTACAAACATTTAAAAGCCATTCCATGTAACTCGATGAGGACTATCGTTAGTCAGATTTACGCCGAGACGTTTCTTTGGGATTAGTAGAAAAGTAACTAGTGGTGTATGGCACCCTGCTTTAAGGCAAATTGCTGGAACTTTCAGTAACAAAAATTAATTTTTTTTATAAAAGATTAAATATTTTTTTAAAACTTTGAAGAAATTTAGATTTTTGAGAAATTTCAAATTTTTGAGAAAAATTTAATCTGTGGAAAAATTTTTTTTTGGAAATATTATATATTTTTT